GGCGCGGCCACAGAGGTCAAGGGTTCGCGGATAGTCATGATGCATTGCTGTGAAGATGGGCAACCTAGACCTCGTGTTCATGCCTTCCCACCCTGAATAATGTTTGTACCGGGCAGGCCATGTTATGACCCTTGAAGAGAGGGTTGTGTACCATGAAAGGGGCCGCGATTTGCAGGAGCGGGGTGAGCTGGTCTCCTTCGAGAAGGGCATGGGAAGCGCAGCGTTTGTATCCCACCAGTGGGTGGGAGAGCCTGGGTCGCTACACCCTCCCATGTAACATGTAGTTCTCCGCATATGCATCTGTGTCTGGTCTGTTGTTGGCTTCCTTCCTAAGATGGGGCCTTCGGAACTTCACACGGGCCACATCCCAGGAGAACAGCCCCGACCCAGACTTCAGACAGATGTCAGTCCTGCAGGACGCAATCAGGCCCCGGCCAGGTTTTAAGATGCCTTTGGCTGCTTCTGTAGTTTCCTTAGGAATGATTTGTGTATTTGTGTTCATATCAAACTCAAGAGAACATGAAGAATGCTACTTTATTATGGTGAAAAGGGGGGTTATAGGATTGAGAGAGGGTTGAGTCAATGATTTGCTGTTTGCTTCACTCGTATCCTTATGGTTTTTCTGTCAATGTGTCCTCTACCAGAACTCCGTCTTACCTGAAACCAGCTTTTTTATATATATAATTCCTGGGGCAACATAAAGGTCTATATGTCTTCCAGGATCCATTTCAATTTCCCGCTGCCCTTCCACATTCCTATCCTGTCATCCAACTCCTGCTTCGTTTCTTTGCTGGAGGTCTGGACACTGTTCTCGATTCCGGCAGTGGTTGCTTGTCACATGCCAAACCTTGAAATGTACGTTTGCTACGACCGATGGCGCGTCTCGTAAGCAGCCACTAGTCATTAGTCTGCCCCATTGAAGTCACTGCTAACTAGCAACAGATGTTTGCTGGCGAAGCCATCGGGTCCAGGACTTCAAGTGCAATAGCTTTCGGCTGATTGCCGGGTTGATGTTGGGATCGCGGACGGTAGAGGCTGACGAAAATTTCATATTAATGAGTGTTTCGGAGGGTGTAGCGCAGCTTGGTACCAAGTTCATCTTGTTGTGCAGCTTCGCAGGCGTTAAATCAGCAAAGTGCTGCAGGTGCCTGCTGTCCACTCAGAAGCGCATCTACCACGACATTCACGCCGAGATGCTCCTGAACGCTTCCGGGAGGTTGCAGTTGGGTTTACAGATGTCGTGTCCCTTCAAGGCACTTAAACTTGCGGCCCAAATCATGAATCTTTTCGCACAATCGCCAGGTGCACCTCTGCGCTCAACTCGAAGCCTCTATTCTTCTGGTATGATTACTTCTCCTGCCCGCAGCTGGAGAAGAATCATGATTTTCACAAGGCTGTGGACTCCATCCCCGGATACATCGGCAGGTGCGAGTTCTTCTTCGTGCTTGCCCCTGTTATTGACAATCCCAGTCTCTGCAAAGTCTTCACACCATCGTCCTGGAAGGAACGGGGCTGGCTGCTTGGAAGTCCAACAGGTCGTTTTTGGAGTTTTTGACATGGGCGATCAACTCCCTTTCCCCAAGACATGTTTGAACCGACTTCCCAAAGATGCATATGAGGATTCTTACATGGGTCCTATGTTTTATGGTGGATTTAGAATGAGAGGCTTCTTAACCAGGTTTCAACATTAAGGTGCCTTGTGGAGAAGCTCTTTAGGCAGCTCTCGCCCGACAGCTCATGGATCGTGATCAAAAGTGCAACTCAATTCGAGTTGGTCTCCCACATGGGCTTCTCGGGTAATTCTCCAGGCGAGGGCACCTTTTCTGAAGCCGGAGACAAGGCGAGGATTGCCCCGATCATGCAGAAATCATTGCAGACGAAGCTGAGACTGCTGCTTGAGGAGCACGACCTGGTCGGATACCGTGTGCTGTTGAATCTCCAGCCGGTGTTGCTGCGCGGGATGAGCGTGCCGCCACTGTACAAGATCCTCCCTGCCGACCAATCTGACTTGTGCTTAATCCCGGATCCTGCATCTCATGAGGTTGCCGAGTTTTTGTTGCAGAATGGCTTTCAGACGATTTCCGACGTTGACGCCGCAGGATGGTCGCCGGTGCACTATGCCGCTCTCCGTGGCGAGCCCCTGTTGATGCAGGGCCTTTTAGAGCTGCACGCGGATCCTTGCTGTTTAACCAAAAAAGGTGGGAGTTTCCAAAAATTAGGGGTACCTTGTTTTGGGGCCCTTAAAACAAGGATCCTATATGATCTTATACTATTTAGGGTACCGTCCTCTATTTTCAGGTAACCCCAGCCACGGAGGGATGGCGGGCGTTGGGGCTCTGGATTTGTGCCTCCGGCACCGGAACAACTAGGCTGCCCGGCTCTTGCTTGCAGCGAAAGCTGCGGCAGAGGGCCGATGGGAGCTCACCTCGGCATGTTTGGGAGACAACCCCGAGGGCGTTCGCTTGCTTTGCCAGAACCGTTGCGACCCACTTGGCAAGGATCCCCTTGGCACTTCAGCCATCAGCATTGCCTGCATGTTTGACTCGGCAAGTGCTTTCGAAGAGATCCTCCGCCTCGCGCAAGCAGGAAACCGGGCCCTTCCGGGCTCGACCCTTGCGGAGTCCATCCATGCCGCATCTGTTTTCCATGGCGGCCCGCACATTGTCCAGGGTCTGATTGACCTCAGGGCAGACGTCAATGATCAAAAAGAAGTCAAGACGATGAGTCCCTTTGGCTTGATTGTCACCTGGCACGGGCTTTTGCACAGGTTGGGCCGAGTTACGCCCCTTACCACTTTGTGCTACCACATGCAGGGCTCGACCCCGCTCATGGCAGCTATCCTGGCCGGACACTATGAGAGCGCTGCGATCCTCGTTGCAGCCGGGGCACGGCAGGACCTCTGCAACAGGCAAGGGTGGTCCGCGTCAGACTTCGCACGCAACCAAGCGGTGCCCGATTTTTTAGTCCAGGCCCTTCGTGGTCAGCCAAGGGACTGCGAGGTTGTGGCTTCGTTTGCTCTTCGTGGTGGATATGTGGAGGAACATTTTTGAGGCTAAAGGCTCAAGCCGTGATTAGCCGTGATTCATGGGCTCATGCCCGGCCCTGAAAACGGTGTAAAGGCTACCAGGAGTTCGGCCTGCTTAGGAAAAAGCGATTCAGGGTTTCACTCGACTGCCAGCACGGTTCTTACAACCCGGTGCTGTTCAAAGCTGTCGTTTGGTCTTCCAAATGTGTTTGAAATTGAATTGTTTCACGGCGATGGCGGCATCCGTTTTGAGGATATGCAATTGCAGGGCTGCAGACCAGTCATGTGCACGAGGACGGATGCATGTCGACTATGCTGATGCTGGGTTGTCACCTGCCCAGCATAGGAACGTTTCACGTCGATCGGAGCCTGCAGGGCGCATTCCGAATCGGACCGTGTTGATTTTCAAGCCGATCGGTGAAGCTGTCGATATTGTCGGCAAAATAGTTCCAGACATGCGGGGACACACTCATTTTTCAACCTGCCCCTCCCAGATGGAAAGATGTGTGAGAACAGCCCTAATTTTAATATGTAGATCCCAGAGAGCACATGTTTGCGCTTGTGTGCATATCCGCCTTGAGCGCCTACCTTGCCCACCACAAGTGCCCGCCCGGGAACTCGCCCACTGATACAAGCGACATAGCCACTCTTACTTACGTCAGCACAATCTTGCATGCGTGCATGCATGCATGCATTCCGGCATGTCTGCACACACACACACACACACAAAAAAAAATACATGTGAGTACATATGTGTATACTGTATACATGTATACAGACATGTGTACCTGCACTTACGCCGCATACACCGAGAGAGAGAGTCCGAACGCAAGCAAGGGAGCGAGAGAGAGAGACAGAAACAGACAACGACAGCTAAAGAGAGAGAGAGAGAGAGAGAGGCTTTCCTCCATGAAAAATTTTCGAACCATGAAGGAGCAGGGTCAGCGACTTCATGTGATAACCTGTTTGTCATAAGCCTCCCTCCTTCAAACACCTCCTAGTTACCGCAGTGAGAGCGTACACTTGTCTTTGTCCGTTATCGCATACTTCATGGTTTTAGCCTGCTGATGAGTTACGCTCGTTTCTCACCCCGCCTTCTACCGTTCCAAATGCGAACGGGTGGGCTGCGAAGCCCGGGGGCGCTGACTCGCCTCCAAGAGCGAGAGAGAGAGAGCGGGGGTGGGGAAATCCCTTTCACTACAGCCCTGGCGACGGAAAGAGAGAGATGAGAGAGCGAAAGGGATAGGGACAGGGAGAGAGAACGCGAGATTCGAGAGGGCGAGAGACACGGAGAAGGAGAGGACGAGCTGGCATTCGAGGATGTGGCTTGGTTTCGCTTCCGGGATTTGTGACCGTCTCTCCCGCAAAAGGAGCTGCATTGGGTCCAGCAATGTCGTGATGTTTGCATACACGCCTCATGCGCGACTTGGGGTAGACGTATGGAGCCTGGGCATCTCAGATGCACGAGGCCACAGTACTGTGCAGCCTTCTGCAATAAGCCAGCTAAGCACAAAGAAGCTGGTCAATCGGAACAGCGCGGCTGTAGATTCCGCACTTTGTGCACTGCCCATCAGCGGCATCTTGGAAAGTGCCTTTTTTTGGGATGTTTGAGCGGATAGTCAGCCCCGAACCGAAGCCTGCACCCCTAAACAGTCAACTTTTCACACCGACTCCGCACCTAAGAACCTCGCTTGGCTGTGTCCGAGTTGTGAGAGCGTAAACCCCTAAACCCTAAGCATTTCCATGTCCAGCTCCAGTATCCTAGTAGTTGTGACGCCCGAACCGAAAGACCTCATCTGGCGAGTCCGAGTTGCGAGGGCGCAAACCCGAAAAAACCCGAAACTCTAAAGGGAATCCTCGCCAAGGCTTGTCCGAGAGTGAGTGCTGAAACTCTAAAAAACCCTAAACCCTAAGCCCCTGAACTGCAACACGGTCGTTAGGAGGAAAAAAACCCCTAAACTCGAAACAACGGGAGGTGTCGCGCCAGCGGCAGCAGAAGCGCCAAGCGAACTCGCTGCCGGGAGTGGCTGTGGGCGAGGCAAAGGCCTGGAGACCGGAGACGCCACTACCATGCAGGGGCTAGAGCATATTATATATATATATATATATGTATGTAGGATTTAGGGTTCAGTTCAGGGTACATATTACAGTACCACATACATAATTCCACATACAGTATATGAGGGTGCATCATGTAGGGTCCGTAATAATTAGAATGGGTTACGCATTCATTGTGTCTGACAGTGATTCATGTCCGGTGAAACCCACTGTATCGGATGTGCCGCATATCCGGTGATACCAACTGGAGAGTGCCTGATAACGACTTCAGACCAGTATCGCTGCAGACCTTGCCAGGCTTTGTCCGAGCGTGAGTGCCGAAAAAATTGAATGGGCTTTTGAAGAACCCCAAACAAGTTCAGGCCCCTATGGTAAGTGCGCTTTTACCATTCAGGGGTTGCGGACAGGGTTTGTCGGCTCAATAGACTTAATGAGGCTTATGGGGCTCAAGGTTTGCGGGATTAAGGGCTGATCGGGTTTCGGTGATTTGCATTTGGGCTTAAGGTGGGTTTCTGTTTCGGGACTCTCAAGGTTTAGCATGTGCGGTTAGTTTTGGGTTGGGGTCCTCGGCTCGGGCTGCTTCCAGCTGCAGATAAGATGCTGACTCGAAAGCATGAATCAGCAGCGTGGATATCAGGAAAGCAATAGGACGGGGGTGGACCGGAAATACTGGCTACAAAGATCCAAAACCAAAGTTGGAATTGAAGATGTAAAGGCATGGGTTTGTAAATGTCAGGCTGAAGCGTGGACGTGAAAGCCAGCAGACTATAGCAAAAGAGATGAGGCTTTGGCCAACATGGAATGCAAAATCGAAAACATACTATAGGGAGCATGTATACGGCTTCGGAAAGCATGTGAAACGGAGAGGGTGAAAGACACAGAGACATAAGACGACGCTCGGGAGAAAAAAGGGTGTCGATTTGATTCCCGGGTGTCTTTCAGATGTCCTTAGGTTTGGAGTGCTTTCGAAGTGCCGTAGGGGCAAGCTGGTGAGTAGCACACAGCGCTTGTGTGCAACTATATAGAACATAAGTAAGTATCATAATTTAATAGCAACATGCAGTTTAGCATGCTAAGTGGCGTAGTGGTGCTGCGCTGACGAATTCGATGATGGTGGTGCCCGCTTCCAAAGACCACCGTATATTAATATTCCGGACCGACAGTCTCAAAACCTAAACCCTAAACCAACCAGGATGCCTACACAGAGAAGGAGCTGCACGTTTGGGATGTCGCATTCTCTGCCGACTCTCAGCAGTTTGCCGTGGCCACCACCCACGGGGTCTTCGTTTACTGTCAGGAGCACAGGGCATGTCTCGGTTTAAGCCAACTTTTCTCATGCTGAAAGACTCTACAGTCTTGTTTACATCGAGAGCTCATGTTTCCGCAACTAGGCGTAGGCGGAAATACATTTCCGAAGATCTTCAGAAGCTCTTGTATGTGCGATCGGCAAAAGGCGCCCGACTTCTTCGCACCTGAGCCATTTGGAACCCCAAACCCCTCTTTCAGCTTGTGCCCCCCTTTAGATGTGTCCAACCCACGAACAGCCGTCGTCAATCATTCGGCTTATACAAGGGCTAATGATTGGAACAATTAGGGTGTTTGGGGGTATGTCATGGTATCACTATGTGGGGACTAGAAGCGGATACCACTGCCAACTATTCAATTCCGACCTCTGCATAAACTCAGTCCCAGAAGCTGGGTTGAAACCCTAATTGCTCGACCTCAGCACTTCAGACACGAGGCTCCGAAACCCGGAAAGCCGTAAGCCTGGAGAAGAGTAACAAGCTCTAGGGCTGTAAGGACTCTTTTTTGTGGGCATTTGTGGGCCATTTAGATCCCCAGGGAAAAGCCGGAACCCCCAAGTCCGAAGTTCTTTGCTTCCAGGATGCTGGGATGGGCACCGCGGGCATCTCTGGAATCTACGGGTCCGAGACGAGCCGATTCGTTCCGCAGATGCTGACCAAAGCTGTGTCGGCACCAGCCGTACTGAAGGCATCCGGGATTGAATAATCTATTTAGGATGCAGAATTCGGGAGAATTTACCAGGGGCCACAAACGGAATTAGGAGATCGGTTTGTCAGGATGTATCAGGATTGGGTTCTTTAAGTTATGTCGACTGGTGCATATGGCGCGTGCCCGCCGTCGTGCAATTGGGTCGAATTCATCGCGACGGAAGCTCGGGCACGTAAAAAGACTTTATCTTCACCCGGCCAGACTTTGAGACCTCCGTAGTGTAATTACTTTTACCCGACGCGGCCTTGTGGAATGCACGAACCTGCAGTTCTGGGTGCGATACCTGCTAGCTGCTAGCTTCGTGTTTTACACGGGCCGCCGCCACGGAGTCACATGGCTATTTTGCAGGCACAGCTGGAACAAGGGCTTGGGCAACTAGCGCTTCTATGGTTTACAGCTACAGCGTCCACTCTTGCCGCAACTTTTGTTGCTCATTCCCCGTGTGTCCTGCCTGGTGCTAGGTAACGCCGGGTTTTTGAGAGCTAGCAAGCATCCTCCCCTGTTGAATATTCCGCTGTCGTTCCACCGTAGCTGTTATTGGCCTTGGAACCTAACACCTGCAAGAGTGAAACGACCAGACTCGTATATAGTAGATATATATACATATATATATATATATATCTATCTATATCAAAAAATCGTCACATACCTGAATATGTCCAAGAATGCACAGAATTGAAGCGTGTATATAAGTGTACACACTCGCACGGAGAGAGAGCGAGAGAGAGCGAGAGAGAGCGAGAGAGAGAACTCCCCTTTTCCCGATAAAGACTATCGGGTGGGCCTGGAGCCTGGGGGCCTTGATCGGTCCCCATGCCCAGCAAAATACAGGGTTTACACATGTTGTTATATCCAGGCTCTTGATGACGGGGACATCACCCGAGCCATGATCCTGGCTTTGGCTCTGAACGACTATGGCTTGCTGAGAAAGGTCTATGAGAAGGCAGTTGCACGAAAACTGATCAGAAAGGGTATGCCTTTGCCTAGCGGTGTGGCCGTTCTGGGTCGCTGTAGCTGAGTTTCACTTCGTGGGTTTACTTAATATGTGGTATGAACAGACGTAGACTTAGACGATGTAGGGTCAGGCTTCGGCGATTCGGGTGAGGCAGCAGAATAGGGCATTGTGAGGGACAAGCAGCGACAGCTTGGCACCCTAAAGCGCACAGCCTTGCAGGAGCCGGGTTCTTACATCAGGAACCCTGCAAGTACTGTACCCTCGAGCACGGCCTCGCTAGGTGCCGGTGCACTCCATTCAGCTTGTGGTGGCCTCCATCGGCTCGCCTCTACTACCAGCGCTGTTGTGGCCTCGAGTCTGCAAGAAGCAGGAATTCTCGAGATGTCTCTATATATATACACACAAATTTTTATACACACACACACACACATGTTGTTATATAACCATATATGTATTCACATATACTATGTGCATCATGTAGAATTACGGCTCAAGCATTCTAGCCTTAGTCGTCGCAATTCGGATAAAAGCCCTGGCCCGAAGCGCCAGCGCGCAATCCTACGATGGGACTTCCAGGAGAGCTGGGCCTCTTGCCCTCCCAGTGGACCCTTGTTCCCTTTTGTTTTGTAGTGTTAGGTTCCTTATAGAACTATACTTATTCAGTTTTGCCGAAGTAGGCTTAGGCCCCTTCTAGAACTAATCTTACTAGGCTTAGGCTCCCTACAGAACTATAGAATACCAAAAAAGGAAAAAGGGAGCCCTTTTTGTTCCCAGTTAGTGGGGATCCTAGGCTTGCTGAAGCTTGAGCAACCCTGGCATGCTGGCGAACGACTGCTGCAGGGGAAGCAAGGCACCGTCCACACTTCCGATGAGATGGGGCCACGCATCTACCACAAAGTCATTCCTGAGTCCTATAGGGACATGGTCGGTCCGCAGCCTCATTTCATGGTCAGCTTCTTCGATCCAGATGCAAATGCCTGCTGGTCCTCCCTTGTCTTTGCGCGTCCGGGCTTTGCTGACTGCGAGACTTCAGACGGAACTCACATCGATGTTGCTGCTGCCCTGGACCCGCGTGATGCTGCAGCAGTGGCTGGTATGATGAAGCCCGGGATCATGGTCGGAGCGGTTGCCATCGACTTCATGACGCGACGTCGGAATCGCTTCAATGGTGTCATCAGCCACGTACACGAAAATGGGCAGTTCTCGATCCGGATCACCCAGGCCTTCGGAAACTGTCCCAAGTACATCACAAGGCGTAGAGTGCAGCGAATGGGAGAGAACCTGGAGTTTGTCACTGAGCCGGTGATGGAAGCATCCGAAATCGGCGCTTTGGAGCGATCCATCATCACAAGCGCGGATAACATGTACTTCGGGACAGGCACGGCAGAACATGGAGCCGACATGAACATTCGTGGTGGCTCCCCAGGCTTCGTGCGTGTCTTGCACGGTGGAAGCACGATTTGCTGGCCGGACTACACCGGAAACGGCTTCTACATGAGTCTGGGCAACGTGCAGTTGCAGAAAAACGCCAGCCTCGTGTTCGTGGACTGGGACGCCACCGGCCATGGTGTTCAAGTTGCAGGAAGTGTTCGCACGATTGAGAGGTCAGAGGTCGCAGATGAGGAGATGCTCAACGTCTTGGAGGAGGAACCACAGGCCTTGAGATTCGTTGTCATGTCTGTCCAGAGTCTGCGCTCGATCCCACGGTACAGCCCCCACGTCTACGAGAAGGTCGAGCTGAGCCCATACAATCCACGTCCCCAGGGATCGGGACCAGAGTACCTGGCTGTTCTCCAGTGGGTGCGCCAAGAGTCGCAGGAGGTCCGGACCTTTGAGTTGCAACTGGCGCCGCTTCCGAAGCCAGGGTCCGTTGTCTTAAGGCCGGGGCAACACGTCCGGTTGGCACTTCCAGCCCTGCAGGGAAAGGAAGCTTCGCCCCCGGAACGAACCTGGACAGTAACCTCCTCTCCTCAGTGGTTCGCAGACCATGCGCGCTTCCAGATCTCGGTGAAGCTGAAGCATGGTGGCCTGGCATCGACTTGGCTCCACCAGCTCAGTCGCGAGGAAATGAAGAGTGCCAACATCCATTTTCTTGGCTTCTCAGGTGAATTTGGCCCACAGCTCGACCCCAGTAGCGGGGAGCTGCGTAGCCAGGTCTCCATGCCACGGCATTCCGTTTTCTTGACGGCTGGGATTGGCTCTACCCCAGCAGTTGCGGCACTCGCTGCACTTGTAGAGTCGGCCCCTCGGCCGGAGACTCTTACGATCTTCTCTTCGGTCCGTGAGATCTCAGAGCTGGCTTTCTTGGAGAGGCTGGCAGAGGCGGGCACGAGCCTCGCGCAGTGGAGCGTAACTTATCGAGCTGTAATCCTCCTGACCGGATCCGATTCAGCGAACGAGAAGAAGAAGCTGGAGATGATGCTGAAGCAGAACCTGGGAAACAATATTGTTACTTACTATAGATCCTTATTGTGGTACTTAACTTAGATCTCTTATTAAACTCTAACAAGAACCCAGGAACTCCATCAGCTCGGTCCAGGTTGAAGCTGGTAGGCTTTCGACGAAGCTGTTGGCAGATCACCTACCAGCAGAGGCCATGCAAGTCTCCGAGAACATCGAAGCCTTCCTATGTGGCCCAGCAGGTTTTGAGTCTGCCGCCAGAGATGCCTGGACTGCCGCGGGCTTCCCTTCCTCAGCAATTCGCTCAGAAAGCTTCGCTTACTGAGCTTCTTTTTGCTTGGGTTTCCTACAGTCTTATCTTCCAACGTCTGTACATCGACTTCTGCGGTATGGCGGAGTCCCGGTTCAGACATGTACAGATGCGAAGCCGATCAAGTCCACAAGATCTTGACTCATGACTTGTTCAGAGTTGGGTAATCCGTTCGTTTAATGCAGGTCCGCCAAAGTGGCGGCAGGATGCTGTAGAAGCTACAGCAAACAGCCTGTTTGTCCTGCAGTGCGAAGGCTGGACCTTTGTGCATGGGCGGGCTACACATGCTTAGTTCCGTGTGCCTTTGGGTGAAACGATATAGCTTTCTAAGGTACATGTGCTCTAAGCTATTTTCAGGCAATGATTTGGAACCTGCCAGGTCTCTTGAGAGGCTTCTGTGGTTCAATAGGGATGGTTCAGGGGCAAGTCATCTAAGGGGAATGTCAGCTTTGCATCCCAAACCGTCGGAAGCAGCATGTTAAATCCGAGATCCGAAACGAAACACGCTCGCCGAGGTTTCTCAGCTTGGAGCCACTTGACTCGCAAGCCGGGCGGCAGACTTGCTCCAGCGACAGTTTCATAAACTTGGTGACATCACAGTGCTCAGGGAACTTAAATAAGCAAATACGGTTTTCTGCAGTATCCCAATGAGGGTCAGAAAGTGACTGTAACTGCAGTTGCCCATCACTGGCAGTTTCACAAACTTGGTTTTGCATTCTGTGCTGCTGATTTCTGCGAGGCTGAAGCCACAAACGGGCACCCCGCTCCTTATCTCCGCATAGAGAGTTGAGCGCTTTGACGGTTTTGAGTTTATAGACGGTTCAGGGTCCAGATAATCCTGAAAGTTCAACAGGATGGAAGTTGAAGATCACGGCTCCTATGCTAACACCCGCACTGTAGCATCGGGAAGGAAGCACAAATCGAAGAAAGGACTCGTCGTCCCGAGTTTGCCACCTTCAGTGGCATAAGGGTATAATAACGGAGCTTGAAGACTTACAAATATTGTTCATCCCTTCGAAAAATTTTCATACTAAGCATGTTCCCCAAAACCCAATTTTTTGTCAACAAGGATCCTTATATTGGGGGTTTCCCGGTTGTGCGACCCTGGCTTGCCAAGTCCCCATAAGTTCTCTAGATGCCAGCGTGCTGCACGAGTTTGGATAACAAACCCTGGATCCACGAACAATATCATAAGCACAAAGTAACAGTCGTTGTAGCGGCAGCAGTAATAGTAGTCGTCGTCGTCGTCCTGGTCGTCGTCGTGGTCGTAGTCGTAGTAGTAGTAGTCGTCGTCGTAGTAGCAGCAGCAGGAGCAAGAGCAGAAGCAGAAGCAGTAGCAGTAGTAGTAGTAGTAGTAGTAGTAGTAGTAGTAGTAGTAGTAGTAGTAGTAGTAGTAATAGTAGTAGTAGTAGTAGTAGTAGTAGTAGTGGTAGTGGTAGTGGTAGTGGTAGTGGTAGTGGTCGTCGTAGTAGTAGTAGCAGTAGTAGCGGTGCTAGTGGTAGTAGTGGTAGTAGTGGTAGTAGTGGTAGTAGTAGTGGAAGTAGTGGTAGTAGTGGTAGTAGTAGTGGTAGTAGTGGTAATAGTGCTAGTAGTGCTAGTAGTGCTAGTAGTGCTAGGAGTGCTAGGAGTGCTAGTAGTGCTAGTAGTGCTAGTAGTAGTAGTAGTAGTAGTAGTAGTAGTAGTAGTAGTAGTAGTAGTAGTAGTAGTAGTAGTAGTAGTAGTAGTAGTAGTAATAAAGTATGCACGATATTACAAAAGCCGGCATGATATTAATGGCATGGCATTTGACTACAAAAACCATGTTACCAATCGCACTATTCGTTAATAGTATTTTCCGCAATGACAATGACAACAATACTAGTGATGATAATGAGACAACAGCCGGAATAATGAAGAGGTTAAACACGGATAGTATTCAAAGAAGAGGAGAACTAATCCAAGGCACTACCAGTTTCACATGCTTTGGATCTCTTCCGTCATCGACCTGCACTTTCAGACCCTGCTCGAGCCCCTTGGAATTTGCAGGGCACGGTGGAAGGCTGTAAGTTTGCGGTCCGGTGTTTTGTCTCTAGTGATGGAGTTTGGCCTCGCTCCGTCTGGGACTCTGGTCAGCTCGTTTTCGGATCTGCGAAGCGTGTTGACATATGTCACAGTGTGCCTTTCGGGCGGCTTCTGAAAACGTCACGAGAATGCTCTGGCTGTCGGGGCGGGGCTTTAAACTTTAGGCTTCAGTTTTTCCGGTTCCCTGGCATGCGGAGGATGACGGCTGGCCGCACAACTGCGCGAACGGGCTCGACACTGGATGCAGCCCCTTGTGCGACCAACACATCTGTCCAAATATAATATGTATATATGTATGTATATATATATACATACATACATATATATATATATATATACATATATATATATATATGTATTTGTATATCTCTTGTCTCTGGCTCTCTTTCTCTCTCTGTGTACTGTGCACAAATGTGCGGCAAGAAAGTATCATATAATGAGTTCCATCACGATGCTAAAGCACGTCCTTCCGGCTCACATGGGTTTGTCGTAGCAGGCTTGTATGCCGAGTTGCCACTCGGAGAAATGATTGAGCAGTGCAAGACCCTGCCACATCCTCTGCACAGGTTTAAACTGAGAGTCGAAACCAGGTGGTAGGCATGTTTGACAGAGGGCTCTGGCTTCTCCAGCTTTACCGTTCTTATGTGGCATGGCCTCGTTTTCATGGCCGTCACAGACAGTATGCATTTTCATCCTCATTTAACTCTGTTGGAACTGTGTTTCGACAGGAGGGGCGAAAGTGCAAGACCCTGGCTCGTGAACCCCAGGCCTCAAATCCTGAGTTGTTTTTGCGATCTCGACTGTGATTCGCGCCACCTCTCGTGCGTGTTGGGGAGTTGAAACCACAGACCTCACAGTCCGAACGTTGCAGGCCCGTGGGATCTGCACCGGCTGATCTGTTAGGAAAGATGTTTCTTCCAGGTACCTGTATAAGGAACAAAAAGATTGAGCTACCATGCTGTGTAAAGATGTCGACAGGGCCATGCAGACATGGCGAGTGGACAGTACGCAGTGCCCCACTTACCATATACTTATGCGCTCAAGATCTTCGATGAGGTATTATGGTCTGCGCTCCAAGGCTCGACTAAGGAGGTTGCAGCAGAGACTGATGGCGACATACATCCGGTTTCGAGTGTAATGCTTTGGTGGCTGCATCACGGCGCGGCACAAAAGACAACAAGCCATCTCTGAAATGGCGTGCATCTGGCAGGTTCATGTCGATCACAGCAACCAGCCAAGATAAGCAATTAGGATGTAGGAGTAATGTCGGAATGTAGGGCAAACGCCCTAAAGTCGTAGCCATACCGCTGCTTCTTTGCATCAGTATACTTGTAAGGTGGCCGCCTCCCGGTCTGACGTTGCTGCGCTGTGCCTTCAGCTGCTGGTCGAGCTGTCGCAGAGACATGCTCCTGTGAGGCAGACAGAAACCAAGCTTACTTTACTGAGCTTTTATGAGGTTGTAGACTCGTCACAGCCCTGCTGCCAAGTTCCTGCGAAGATCGAGGGCTCAAGTCGAGTCGAGCATGAAAAGGCAAATCCAGATGCCTTTGAAGGCTCTGTGTTGGATGTTCAAGGCATGCGAGTCTCGTAGTAACGGTTCAGGGGTCACCGTTCCCGAAGAAACACCTGAAATATCCGCAAACCTCACAAGGCTGCGATGTCCAAGATCTTCGACAGCAACACATACCTCTTGAGTGACTTGGCTCCTGCTGGCAACTTGCAACGCATGAGCTCTTGGGTGTTGAGAGAACAGTTTAGAGCGCGGCGGGGATAATCGGAATGGTGACTCATAGGTTCATAACGATATATGATATGACTCCATGCCAGGCCTTCTCGACTTGTGTCATCTCCTTACAGCACCAGGATACCTGGGCAGCCTCCCCTCTGACAGAGAGGCAGTCGAACGGTTGGAGCTGTGCGGGGGTCAAGAGTTCTTGGGCTTCAAGGGGTTTCCGGCCTGGCAGAGGAATTTAGGGGTTTCAGTATCAATGTGTTTGGGATCCTCTGCTAGTTAGTTGATTGATGAGGATGTCACCGCTCGGGATGCGGGCAATGTAAGCTTGCTCCAAGCGAGCCCAGGGCGGTGGGTCAAGATTCCATTCTGCTTGGAGGCATGAGTCGGTTCTGGCATGTTTTGTTGTCAATCCTATGCGGCAGGCGATCGATCTTGTAAAGCGAACTTAGCAGCAGGCATGAACTTGAATATCAAACTTTGAGCCGGTGTGTTGTGTTGTCCTCGACAAGGTAGCATAGGGTTAAATGGCGTGAACAAGCCAAAAACCGAACCCTCAACCGTGACGCAGGCCCTCACAGATGAGAACCTGCCGCAGTCGAAGGGCGCGAAGAGTAACCCGGACACGACAGCAGATCGAGCGGGCAGCGCGAGGAAGCGAAACTGAGAAGGAAGAGAGAGAGAGTGGGAGAGAGAGAGAGAGAGGGGGAGAGGGAGGACCGAGCCGTCTTCCCCAGTGCCTGAATGAGGCGGACCCATGCAGTCTTCCTGCACTGAAGATGGAGAAAGGGCCAATTGGGCCGTCTGACAAACAGAGAAGATTAGCGAGAAGGAATCATGAGTGCCCGAGCACCTAGAAGTAGCATTCGACCTACCCAAAGGTAGAAAGAAGCCGAAAGCTATCGAGCCGCCGACAGCGCCCGCGGCAGAGGCTAGACATTGAGCAGAGGGTGTTGTATTTCAGAGATCCCGTGACACTGGAGCTGGTCAGTTCTCACGACTTTTGGTTTGTTTCAAAGTTCGCTCCTGACTTGGGCTGCGGCAGAAAAGGCATGTACATCACTACGGGGTGGTGCGGCTGGCTTATCATTGGGGTCGAGTGTTCAGTTTGGCTGTAGTGTTTAGTTAGGTGATCCTCTCTGAAGCCCCAATGACACCATTCCTTTGAGCTTGGTGCTGAGTGCCCTGGCATAAGGGGCGCCTGAACCGCCCCAGACACCCAACCTCAATCCAGCTGCCTCAGTGTTGTGTATTCTTCCCTCGCAGTGGTGTTTTATTCGTTCGTTGTTATTCGTTCTGGCTTTCGATCCAGGTATGTTCTTGAGCTTTGCTTCGCGACTTCGGGCACGGCTGAAAATTTCAGGGTGAGGCTTTCTCAACTCTGTCCGAGCTTTCGCCTATGGGGTGTGCTGAAGTAGGCTGCAGCTTTTCCGGATTCTGCAGAGGATGCCGGCCGCGAAGCCCATATCGACTGCATGTAGGCCCATGTGTTCACTTCCGGGCCGCTTCGTCCTTGCTAGGTAGGAGGGAAAAATGGGGCCTGTGTTGCAGAGAAGTGTTCTCCGGGAGGAGACGGCGGAGCTCCCTCCGGCAGAGGAGATCGAGGCCTACATCGCCATGCTTTCAGAAGCATTTGGGGGGGTCCACTAGAAGTAATATAGGGGCCTTAATAGTTACCTATACTGTTTCGGGAGTTCCTTGTTGTAGTTATAGTCTGATGGGCCCAAGAACCTTATTCTGATCATTAGGGCCCTTCTAGTAGGCGCAGATACCTGTAGCGTGGACAGCATTTGTCACGTTCCTTGGGTGCGACTATACGAAGTAAGCATGTGACTGTGTGTCATACGGTATTGTACACGGGTGTATACGTTTTAATATATACATATATATATATATATATATATGTATATGTATATACATATATATATATATATATACATATATATATATATATACATATATACATGCGCTGCATGGAAGTTTTTGCGGACTATATGTATACTAAGTGCTACATTGTGCGCGCAGGCAGGCAGCAGTAGCAGCATGTCAAGGCAGTCACTTCCTTCGTGCGACGCGCAACTAACTCTACAGTACCGGACTGAGTTATATCAATGCCTACACATAGGCTTCATAGTAGTTCCTTTTTGGGATTCATATCTAGACTCCTATAAGGTAATCCCAAACAGGAACTACTATGGAGCCTATGGGCAGGCCCCACCAACTTCGGTCTTGAGACCCAGTGTTTTGATGCCTTTGCACGAAGCGTTCCACTGACTGACTCCTCCTCAGCAGTTTCACGGAACGCCTTTTTCACTGTATGCATGAAATCCGGTTTGCATCTAACATTCATTGCGTGAAGTTTGTTTGTATGTAATTGTATGTATGCATGTATTGACATGCACAAGCATGTACGTATCTATGTGTAGTATGTGTACGTATATGTCCCTTCGTTTGTTCGGGGGGCCGCAGTCTTCGGCATGCCCCTGCACGCCAGCAGCATACTGCAAGGTGAGGACTTTTATTTGCGGGTCGGATTGGTTCTACTTAGAAGTATAGACAGTCAAGCCCTGTCTTGGGCTTTGTTGTCGAGTGTCTTGTCGCTCGCATTGAGGGGGGGGGCCTTCGACAGTTGGGTGATTCATAATCTCCGGACTAAGGGACGCAAGGTGTCTATTTCAGCGAGCGTTTCGACTGCAGTAGCTCCCTGCGGTCGACCGCACCCTCATCCGTCTCACACCCACACACACACATTCACATTCGCACACATCCATGCACGCATACGACATGTGTGCACTGTATTCACACGTTAACAAATCGAACTGAACGAAGCTCGGCGAGCCTTGCGCAGGCCTCTGCGCCGAAGCCGAGGGCCAAGAAGAAGCGCCGCCTAGGCACTTGACTTTTCCGGCAGCGCGCCGGGAGCGAAGCCGAAGCGGGAAAGGAAAAGATGCCGCGATCTCTGCCGAATCTCTGCTAGATGAGGCTTAGAGTTGGGCTCGGGCGGCCTGACAGAATCCACGAATGCATCCACTCGCAATATTGTCGCTCTTGTCTGCGAGTTATCCACACAGTTCCGGAGCTGCAAGCACTGAAGGGATCGCAGGCTTGGATGCAAGGGGTGCGTGAGCCTAAACCATCGGCATACTAATGTGTGTGTGTGTGTGTGTCTTTTTTATATTGGCACCCCATAATTATAGAGATATATATATATACACACACACATATTTTGATGGTCATGGTTGTTCATGTGCCTCATGATATTGTTGCCCGGCAGACCAGAGCCAGGTGCGGCCCACGCTGCAGAAACCGACCCGGCCCTTCCGCTGCGTGGCATCGCTCGAGAGAGGTGCTTGGTAGGTGTTACCCAGAGATTGAAATATCCTTGAATTCTGGAATATGCTTTAAATTCAATGATATTCGAGATTTTACTATATGATTTACGGCATATTCCTTAATTAAGGAAGAAGGGGAGTCTCGGAGTAGTGGGAGAAGGAGCCCGGCCGACTTACCAAGCCCGGATGCAAAAAGAAAGTAATAATGGGGTTTCGGGGGATATTGTGTAAGGGGTATTTTGTGCTACAGTTACAATCGGAACCTTAAGGAAGACCAGTACCTGTAGCTGTAGTTGTAGCAGTAGTAATAGTAATTCATAATATGAATAACACAAGGGTTTGGGTAGTTTGTAGTAGGTAGTATGAGCAGGTAGTATTAGTACTAGTAGCAGCAGTCTTTGTGGTCGTAGTTTCCTTGTCGTGCAGTGACTCGCAATGAGGCTGATGACAGCATCTTCCTCGTCGGGGTTGTGTTCAAGTTTTGGAGAGCTTTCCTGACTGCTAGTTTAGGATCCGCCGTTCAACTGCTGGAGTCAAGCCGCCACGTTCTTGCCAGCTTCCAGTCTCCACAGTCTCAAAGCCTTCAGTCTAGTCTTAACTCGGCATTTCGTGGCTGTTATCAGTTAATATTTTCTTTTCTTGTCTTCTCAAATTCTATCGAACAGCCTCAGTATGTGAAAGCAGCTGCTATACTCCGTGCACCAGGAGCCCCAGAGCCTTCAGCTGGCTCAACACACCACAACATCTGAAAAGCGACGACAACTCGCATCTGGAGCTTCGCCAGGTGGCCAGGAATGCGAGTGGGAGGCCTGATGGTGTCTCTGAGTGTATTCACTTTCCTGTCCCGGCACCCCGGCTTTTGGGGCAAAAGGGCCCCGGGCATGGAAGGCTGCTGCGATCGATGGGAATTTACTGTTTTGCTTGCGCAAGCGAAAGAAAAATATGTTCTAGCCTGCATTTTCGTGCCCTTGCATTGCGAGACTCTTGATGATGGCACGGCAGAGAGAGAGCGAGGGAGAGATAAAGCGAGAAACAAAGCAAAATCGCCGCTGACACAAGACCTCGCATAAACAATCATGTCTCTGAAACGCAGAATGGTGTCGCAGTATTGCGCCAAACGGCAGTACAGGGAATGAGGAGGTTAGATGGAGGCTCTGACTTGCAGCGTTCCTGATTGCCAGATGGATGGAGACGAGAAGCCGCTCACTTTGACAAAAGACATCTTGCGCATCCAGGACCTGTGTTCCGATTTTGCAATTTGGGGATTGTGGCCCGAGAGTCTACGAGTAGGACACAGTGTGGATTACCGGAAACAAAGCGTGCCAGTGTATGTATGTAACTATATGTATATGTGTATTTCTGGTTGCAAGTAATTATGTATGTACTATATATCTCTAGACTTCATATGTGTGTAAGCATCTTATGTACATATATATATATGCACATACACACACATACATACATATATATATATATACATATATATATATGTGTTGTATCTGTATGTCTGTCCATGATAGTTTTATGTTGACATTCTCTGTGTTGGTTAGCAGGAGCGAACGAATGTTGATAGGTATTCCGCCTCAACTACTATGTAGGTTAGCAGCACTTGGCACACTTAACGTATCCAGACAATGTCCAGCCCCGGGTTATACAGCAAAGAACTGCCATACTGGGTCCATGGGTTAAGGGGTTTGACGTGCTGTGATGTTATGGATGATCACAGTGAATACTTATGTGTGCCTCCACCGGTTGCTTGTGGAATCGAGCGTCCACATGGGGAATGACTGGTTTTGGTGTGCTGTGACGCCCTCGACGTGTGTCCCGAGCGGGTGCTTCTGGAATCGAACGTCTACATGGGGAATGGCTAGTTCATGTGTAACCACTTATGACTCGACCGGCCCTATGGAATGTATGTAAAATCGAGCGTCTACATGGGGAATGGCTGGTTTTGATATGCTGTGCTGCCTCTGACGTATGTCATGAGCGGGTGCTTTTGGCAGTCGAGCGTCTACATGGGGAACGGCTGGCCTTGATGCGTTGTGATGCCATTGATGTGCGTCTGGCTCGCGAAATTGAGTGTCCACATGGGGAATGGCAAGTTTCTCGAGCGGTTGCCGGCCGAATCGCACGCTCACATGGGGAATGGAACAGGTTTTGACAGCCGGTCGATAGGTAGGTGTAGGGTTGGAGGTCGCGCGGCGCTCGCGCGAGCTCGCGCGGGCGTCGCGCAGGCCTTCTATCTATACCACAAGTCAGAACCCGAAAATCCCTGCAAAATACACTGTTGCAGTCCCCACTCGCGAACTAAACAAGCCCTGCGCAGGAGTTCCTCTGGCATGTTTCAATACTGCAAAATAAGCCCAAATACTTGCGGCACGCGCGCAGCTCACCTGTTTCGTTACATGTGTTGAAACCCACCTCCGGGCGGCGTCCACATGGGGTTTCGATATTTCTGGTGTGATGAAATGAGGTGATGTGAGTGCAAAATAGCCACGAATACCTGCGTCACGCGGCCTTTCTACTCATTTCGCTACATGTGTTGAAACCCACCTCCGTGCCGTGTGCCCATGGGGTTTCGCTACTTCTGATGTGACTAAACGCGGGTGATGCGACTAAACGCGGATCGAGCGTCACCTTGGGGTGTTGTGACTAAACGCGCCCTGACGCGACTTAACCCCGCTACACGTAGTTGGTAAGAGGTCCTAGTTACTTCGACTCAAACTACTTGGGTCAGTACCATTGAAGCGTTCACACATGTTTCAGCAAAGGAAGGTTTGTCTGCGACTCCAATATGATTTGATGGATCTTTCCGCTCTACCTTTTCGAGTTAGCACCATCGAGTTCTTCAGGCATTGTTCAACGCAGATCTAGCCCAGTTAGCATCATCGAATTGCTCAGGCATTTTTCAACACGGATACTACTCTAGATGTGTATAGTGTGTGTATGTATATATGAAGATGTAAAGACAATGTGAAGAATTCAATCATGCACTTAGTCGCAGATACATAGATACATACATGTTTATAGCTATGTGCACATGGCTTCATACAGATACAGAGAAACTAGATAGGCAGTTAAACGGACAGATTGACAAGCTCAGATTTCGCTCACTCGACAATTTACTTGTGTTTACGATGTGCGCCCTGAGTAGACATCCATACCATCGTCAGCGACTGATAACCTAGACAAGCGCGCCTGTGTGATAAAGAAGCGGTCATACAAAGTCAGGAGCTGCCTCCTGATCAAAAGGTTGGCGATATATCGATTCCCCATAGGCGAAGATTCGCCCAGCCGCCTTATCACAACATGTGTCTTCGTTGTTTCTGTAGTAACTGGATCCTTGGCCTGCAAACCCTGCAACGTCCAAGAATCACGCTTGTCACCCAACATGCATCCGCGCACCATGGAAGGCCATTCCAATGGTTCCCGGGCAGGATGACATCAGCTGAGACAGCGCACGCACAAAAAAGTTGGGCGCATTTATGGTCCGAAGTGTGGTTCAGTCAGTTGTCAGTACGATGGGGACGACGATGTTGCTGGTGATGGTTACTCGCACGTCGACATGTTACTGCTGGGTCCAGAAGCTGCTGCTTCTTTGAAACGACCTACGCGTCGCGGTTAGTGCTGTTTTCTTCTCCTGTCATTGCGCCAGCTAGCTGCAGTTTGTAGTCAAACCTAAACGAAACGACTGGACGGGGACTGCGGCTGGTGTGAAAGCTGTTCTGCTGCTACTGCTGCCACTACCAGCACGAGTAGTACTACCTATAGTAGTTAGCAGTAGCGGCGGGGATGGTGGTGGTCCAGCAGCAGCACCACCACCACGTCGACGAATACTCCCTGCTACTGCACCGTAGTCCTTTTGATGTTTACTTCCGGAGCGTGTTTGATTCAACGAAGTCACATGGCTGATGTTTTGGTAAGGTCAGGATGTTTGGAAGCCAGAACAACGCAGACTCAAAAGCAGTTCCATTTTTTTGGTACCACGGCATTGTCAAAGGCTACAGAATTGGCCAGAAGCCGATCCCCACCCAACCCCAAGCAAACACACCCTCCCTACTGCCTTTTCGGGAAACGGCTCAGTGTGGAACTAGCCGGAGCCATGCTATCGCCGGCATGGAGTCATCCAGCCAGGACCTGCTTCCACGGTTCAGAGTTCAGGGTTTTTAAGGCATGTGTAGGTCTTGGCTTTGGTGCCAGTGATTTTTTCGGTGGTGAGGCTGGTCATGACCAGGGCACACATTCACTAGCAGGTAGCTTTGCGGTTGAAGACCTGGGCTGGCACAGGTGTTGTGTTCAGGTTCGTTCAGGCTCGACTTTGCTGCAATGCAGCTTCCAGCCTCGCAAACTCATGGCAGATGTTTAGCAAGCTTTCCAGAGTTCTTTCGGTTTTGCTCTTGGCCGCCGCCTTGCTTCAACACCGTGTACATGGTCGGCGGACAGAACATCACTGGTGCGAGTCCTTCTACGACGAATTCTACGATCGTTTCCAGTCCAGGGCTTCCTTAGCGAAAACGGCAATGTAGGGCTCGGTATCTTAAGCATGTGCACGAAGCTAGGGCAAGGG